TCTCTGTTTCTCCACCTCCGTCCTGTGAGAATATGAAAGCTCTCAGCAAATGTTCCTCCCACACACAGCATTCCAGGGGCAGTGAAAGCAGTCCTACACGCTGACGGAGGTCTGAACAATAGATGCATACCTGAACACACCTCCTGATATATCTTCTGTTTCTCCCTCCATTTCCTCAAGGAAATTGCATTATCTTTCTGTGACAAACCCATTGTGTAGAAATAAATATATAATAAATCCACATGAGGTAGTGGTTTCTTTTTTCATCAAAATACTGTACTGTATGATTTTTAAAAAATATTGAAGTAATTTTAAATGATTAAAAAAACAGCATAATGTAATTATTCATTACAAATAGTAAACGCTGCTTAAGCAGCACTATATGGAGCATACAGTGCAGTCATTCTAAATGTATTTCTATCATGACAACTCTCGGAGGGATTAGCATGGTAATGTACATGACAATATTAATGTGTTTGGTCTTGGCTGCTGTTGCTGCAGAGCAAGTACCGAGACTATTGCTACTGCCAATACATCCACAACATGCTGCTGTGAGCATGTAAGAAATACTGCTGCTGCAAATATAACATACATGAAATAACCCCCATATAGCGTACGTGGATCACCCTGTTGCAGATCTATACAGGTGGAGCTGGGGAAGGTGGAGGGTTTCTGAAGCAAGCTGCAACTGCTACGGTAAGCACTAGTCATATATTTGAATGTTTGAGCATCATTGGCTGCTGGCGCCATGTGATGATGTCATTACGTCAGATTTGAGTTAGACCTGTCGAACTGCGCCACCTAGAGTTTCATGGCAGAACTTACAGAAATATGCTCTAAAGATTATGATATTTGGTTCAATCATTTTGCATTGAATGGCTTGTACAATGAAATAATGCCTAGATGTTTTGATCAACTTGACATAAACAACTGATAATGTAGGAAACAGGAGACAATAGTACATAATCAACTGTATTTTTTATTATGTATTGAAGCATTGACAATTTATTCAAAATAATTAATTTTTTTTTCCAGTTGTGATCAGAGAAGGATCTAAAAAAAAAAACTAAGAAGTTCTTTCCATAAATCATGAGTATGATTACATCAGCGAGTGCTTTTATTTTTAAAGACAAGATTTAAGAATTGTTGGCAAAACTTATCACAAATACATTGACGTTTAGTGAGGGGTATACATCTATTTTTCTCTGTTGTTGTTTTGAGGTATTAATAATTCTAAGCAGAAGCACTAAACTACACGAAATCCAGCAAGTGGCATCAGACAGAGAAAGCTGATTCACGCTCATGTCTATTTAATTTCACTTGTATCGTGAAAAGCGCTATACAAATAAACTCGAATTGAATTGAATTGCAAATTAGTCCTAAGTTCCCAGAATGCTCAAGCTCACACCAAATCCACTGGGCTTCTCCTCCTAAAACCACACACACACACACACACACACACACACACACCAACAATGGTTTCCATGTTTTATGGAGACTCTCCATAGACTTAATGTTTTTTTTTACTGCACAAACTGTATTTTCTAGCACCTTACCATAACCTTACCTCTAAACCTACCCCTTTCTACATTTCAGATTGTTCCTACAAGGTCTACATTTACTGGTATTACTATGCTTATGGGTGGTGAAATTTAGTCCCCATAATGTAGGGAATACCAGGAACACTTACTTTTTAAGTTTTTTATTTTTTTATTAAGGGCCGGAATATTTTATTGACTTTTCACATAAAGGTTATTTCTGTACAGAGATAATACAGCATTTGCTCTGCTCTGAGCTTAAATCTTATAGAAAGCTTTTGACATTTTTAGTTCACTTGTTTACCAGCGGATGCTCTGCAGTGAATGGGTGCCATCCGAGTCCAAACAGCTGATAAAAACATCACAATAATACACAATTACCAATCAATGTCTTGTGAAGTTATTCATTAAGACGTTTTAACAACTAAAATACGAGTCCATAACAACTCTTCCTCCAGTGAAAAAGTGCATCTCCTGTTGTCTCTCACATCAAAATCCAGCCACACATTAGTTTAGAGCTGTTTAAACGCTGCTTGATCTGTGCAGATTTCTCTCCTGATTCAGACCAGAACACTTTTTCACTGGAGGAAGAGTTATTATGGATTATAGACTCTATGGTATTTGAGTTAAAAGCGTCTTAATGCTGGATGTGTTTCAGCTTTTGTCTTCTCCAGATGTTAACTGATGGACTGGAGTGCTGTGGATTACTTGTGGATTATTGTGATGTTTTTATCAGCTGTTTGGACTCTCATTCTGACGGCACCCATTCACTGCAGAGCATCCATTGCTGAGACACTGATGCAATGCTACATTTCTACAAACCTGTTCAGATGAAAAAGATGGATGGCCTGAGGGGGAGTACATTTATGAAATGTAATTTTTGAGTGAACTATATATTAAGTGGACTAAATGTGTGAAGTCCTGCATATGTTCCCATGGATAAGCTTGTGGCTTTCACCAGAAGGTCCAGTAATGACATTGTGATTTAAAATTATGGAGGCAATAAATAAATAAAAAACATAACATGAAAATAAATGGTGAACATGCAGAAAGCATACTCTTTGGTTGTTATAAGTAACTGAATATAAAAATTATGAAAGTTTATATAATGTCCCCATTTAAATAACTAAGTAAACGTGTGTGTGTGTTATCCATCACTTGAGTTTCCCTATGCAGATGCAGTTAGTAATGGTTTCTAAATGAGACTCGCGCTTGAGTCACGTCTGCTCTCTCTTAAGAGTTCCTCCTCAAACCATCTGGCCAACGCAAGAGGAAACGAGAGTTTAACAGAGAAAAACAAGTCTTCCCAAAGCCACCCACATCCCATCTGCTCATTAATGATCAGTTTTATTATTATCATCGCTGTTGTCACGATTATGAGCTGAAGTTTTCCTAATTGCCATACTGGTCATCGGGCTGTATTCCTGTGAAAGCGTACAGTATGGGGGGAAATCCAGCCGTGTGCGTGTAATCATCCATTCACATCCCTCCTAATGACTGTCAGTTTTCCTGCCTCTCCATTTTCTGTCCAATTAATTATTTTCTTACTTCCCGGAGAAAGAGAGACAATAGAGCCCTCCAGCACATAATAGATCATTAAAATTCAGCAGTTCTTGGCGGTGGCAACGTGTTTCCTCCCTGGACTGCTTGGCATGAATGCAAGACCCCGCTTTGAAATTCAAGCCAGCAGAGCACTCCTCACCCCTCCACGCTCACACAATTCACTCCCAATCTCAGCCCATTTCCATGTGAAGATCATCTCAATATGCTCTGAGTTTCTGTCCCGACAGACCAGTTCCACGTATGACTGAAATGCATACTAGCATACGACTCTGACAGACAGTTATACTGGAATGGACAGATATGCAATTCTCTTAAAACGTGTCATTGAGAACAATGAAGACTGGGAATATTAGATTGCTGCTTTGCAGCATGTTGATAATTCATATGCACTTCAAATCACACTGCATTTTAGAGCCACGCTCACAAGATGAGAGAAGCTTGCAAGGAAAACAAGTTTGCTCATTCATCTACTCAGTCGCTTGAAATGAAGCACACTACAATAATTAAAATGCCTCAGTGCTGTTCATCATTCAGGCATCCTCCAAACCCCATGTCCTTGCGGTAGTCATTGTTTATGTCTTATAAAATGGTAACTAAAATGTTATCACAATTAGATATGGTAGTGAAATTACAGAAGCTTTTGTTGACTAAAGTCATGGCAGCCTCTCTCGACGCCGACAGCTGCAGCTGCTTAGAACAGAGACTTATTATTCCCAAAGTAAAACCATGATATATCTTTTGGCGATGGCATATATTTGCTGTATACGTCCATAAAACCTCATTATTTCACTAAACTTGGAAAAAAAGTCAAATTAACTATTTTGTCTGGAGTACTGAAAAAAGTCATATTTTTTGCAAAAAAAAAAGCACCAAAACAAGTTAAATGCTATTGCTTTTTGAAAATTCTTATGTGCAAGTGCAATAGTATCCAGTTTAGACAGCCATTTTTCAGATAAAAATGTATTCTTCCACAAATATTGCCAGCAATTTGTAAGAATGAACCTGTTAACAAAAGTGAAGATTCACAGCCAAGTCACTGTTTTATTCTTATGTATAATTTAAAAGTGTAGAGTAAACACTGTTTTGTGTGTTTGTGGTTCGCAGCCTAAAAGGAGATTAAAATGTTCAACGGACTGCTATATAATTAAGCAAATCGATTTAATTCAAGACAGCCAGTGACAGTAAGCATGTGATACCAATGACTGGCGGTGTTAAAAATGCAATTATTAATGAGCTTGCTGCAAACGAAGAGCCTTCGACATGTTAAAGTGCTCACCAAAACGATGCATAGTAAAATAACAATGAAAAACAATTGCTAACGATTAATGTCATCTATTATTTTTCAACGAGAGTTAGTTGGTGACACAAAACAAGGTTTTGCTGCATCTGACATGCCCCCCCCTCCACCCTTTCAGCTTTTGTAAGTACTGTAAAATAGAAACAAACGACAACACAGCATAAACATAATTGTGACCCTGGAGCACAAAAGCAGTCTTAAGTCGCTGGGGTATATTTGAAGCAATAGCCAATAATACTTTGTATGGGTCAAAATGATAGATTTTTCTTTTATGCCAAAAATCATTAGGATATTAAGTAAAGATCATGTTCCATGAAGATATTTAGTAGATTTCTTTCCTTAAAATATATCAAAACTTAATTTTTGATTAGTAATACGCATTGCTAAGAACTTAATTCGGACAACTTTAAAGATGATTTTCTCAATATTTAGATTTTTTTGCACCCTCAGATTCCAGATTTTCAAATAGTTGTATCTCGACCAAATATTGTCCTATCCTAACAAACCATACATCAATGGAAAGATTATTTATTCAGCCTTCAGATGATGCATAAATCTCAATTTCGAAAAATTGACCCTTATGACTGGTTTTGTGGTCCAGGGTCACATATATGAAATAGGCAATTAAAAATGAACACATTTTAGGTAAAAAAAAAAAAGGAAGGATTAACCACAGAGAGATTCTGACTGAAGCTAATGCTTCCCGAATATTCATTGGTCCCTTTTATCTGTGATCCCGGAGCGGACGGCAGTCCTCACAGAGGATTTCTGCTGGCTCTCCACAAATTCATCACGTCTAGCACCAAGCGTCAATGTTTTGATGTGTCGAAAAATCAGCAGGCACTGGATGCTTAGTCAGCTGGCACAAACGCCTTCAGTGTAGTGACGGACATGGCTCAAAGCGGCCTGGAGAGCGTGGTGTAGACCGGCTGATCCCAGCTGGCGGAGGGACTGTGGGAGGGCGGGATGGACCGGCTGCTGAGGAGGGTGCTCCGTGAGGAATGGAAGTAGGGGTACTGGTAGAGACCGGAGGCGTAGCTGGGGTACTGGCTGTAGTAGCCCGAGCTCTGACGCTCTGTATAGTCACACGGAGGGCTGCTGAACAAGGCGCTGTAAACGCCGTACTCGGGCGAGTGCTCGCTGTAGTGACTCGGGCTCAACTGCTCAGTTTTAATGTGAGCTCTGTGCTGGCTCACGTCGCTGGTGCCAGGCGATGAGGACGCCACGGGCCCCTTGCGGCTCCAGGAGGCCCCGCTGCTTGCAGGGCGGCTGTAGGACGAAGCGTACGAGCCGTCGGAGGTCAGAGGCTGGCCACTCGGAGGCAAGTACTGGTCGAACTCGTGCACGTCGAAGCTTTCCATGTTGCTGATGACGTCTGTGCTGAGCTCCGAAATGTCGACGTTGCTGAAGTCGATGTTCTGTCGAGCGCCGTCAAGCAAGCGTCTTCTTTCATGCTTGGGGTCCGGCTTTCCTCCGTGATGGAGGTCCGTTTTGGGCATTGTAGGGGGTGTCGGGGGTCCATGAGGCTGACCTGAGGATGATAATAAACCACAGAATTAGGTTGGGGTTATATGTGACTAGAGATCGACTGATATATCGATTTACCAATATTTTTCCCGATATTTAAGCATTTTACCATAATCGGATATCGGTTTTGTAATATCGGATTC